TGAATACTTCAAGGAATCTGTGCTACCCAATGAAATGCTCCTGTAGTTACAATGGGACTCTCAGCTCCTGTCAGTAACAGTGCCCTCGACGGAAGGCTACCACCGAGGGCAGCGTGCCCAGCAGACGTGAGCTGCCACAGCACCAAGCTCCTCATATGAAAGCTCATTTCAATCTTGATCAATAACAATCACGAGGAGACAGGACAAGGCCATCAGTCTCAATTATGAGGACAGTGTTTTCTCCCAAATTATCCACTCTGTCGTGTTCTCCTCAGGTTCCAAAGGAGACCCTGTCTCATACATCATTTTCTCACAAAGGTTGAAAGCCCTGGGGGGGGTCCTTCCTGCCTCCTGGCCCTCCCTTCGTGTCTGTCCACCTTGACAGGGACATCTTCAAGCTACAAGGAGTGAATTAGCATAGCAATGGAGCTCTTCTCAGGATGGGAAGGCTGAGCGCCGTATTTACCACAGACTCCCCAATGCCACATCCCAGGGCCTGCTGGAAAACTTCCCTTATTCCAGGATTTGAAAACTTTCAGTGGGTCCACATCCCTGTGAGATACGTCCACTCTTTTCAGTAAATATCCAATGACTTCTTCTTTGTTTTGAGGTACTAGCAAACAGGTGACAGATTATATAAACACATGTTTATGAAAGTGTGAAATTAACCACACTAGTATTGCTTATGTAAATAACATGTGTCTTCATTATCCAAAATAAGTGATGATTTATACACTAACAAAGCTTTCAAAGAGTCAAAGATTTTGAGGCTCTTCCCTCAGAAATTTGTAATTAAGTTTCACAAACCCGGCTTCAATAATAAGCATCACCTTTAGGGTGATGAAAATATGCACATTATCCCTCCTCTCAATCTTTCCTTATTGTCAACGTATTGTTGAATCAGGTGGAAGATCTGAACTCCCTCAGTTCATGGCAGTAAATATGATAGTTTAATGAATTCGGTGGAAATGAATCTGAAAATCTGAAAACCAATCAATGCTCTAGATTTTAATTGACAAAATCCATGACTGAATGAATAAACAGTATTTATGTGCTTTCGGGTGCAGCTGGTAAAGGGGGACTACCTTTCAGACTACTTCAGGATATCCGCTGTGTGATATGTACATGTGATGTACACCAGTACTTGTATGTTTGTACCTCCTTGATTACCACCATTTTTTAAAGTAACTGAATACTGAATCTTGCTTTACTTGTACAGTGATTTAGGAAGGTGGTAATTGCTCAAGGGTGGCACAGTGGTGCAGCAGTTAACATTGCTGCCTTGCAGTGCTGGAGCCCTGCAATCAATTCCTGGGGTGCTGTCTGCGTGGAGTTTTTATCCCATGCTCATGTGGGTTTCCCAACAGTCCAAAGTCTGCTTCTTCCCACAGTCCAAAGACATACTGGTAGGTTAATTGGCTTCTAGGAAAATTGGCCCTGGTTTGAGTGTGTGGATGTCTGTGAGCGTCTTGTATCCTGCTTTACGCCTGTTGCTTTTTGGGATAGGCTCCATCTCCACTGTGACCTTGTACTGGATAAAGCAGTTAGAAGATGGATGGATGAATTCCTTGATCGTCCTTCATTTGGTGCTAAATAGGTTTCCCGTGTGGGTTTTGATGATGTGAAGTTAAGCCAGACCATATTTGGATTTTTTTTTACTCAAATGTTTGGGGAGAAGGTGAAACCCTTCTTTCCTAAGCACAAATATCCCATTTCGTGCTGTCTGGCTTGCATGTTTCATTTTCGCATCCCTCCCTCCACCCTATCACCCCATCTTCGGCCTAGCAGCAGCACCTCGGCCTCAGCTTCCTTCATCAAAAGGGGGTTCCAACACCCCCAGCCTTACGGACGCACTGTTGCTCCTCTCTATCTAGTGAGTTACCCCAGTAAAGCCTGCTATTCCAATCACGCTGTGTTTTTTCCTTAATTAGGCTCTGGCAGAATGTACTGAGACACTGCTTGGTCCATTTTCACGTGGGGGTAATGAAAATGAATTGTTGCACTCGTACAGCGGCTGTCAATGCTCAAGCTAAACGAGCAGAAAAAGAACAAGGTTCTAAATTTACTACAGAGCGTGAAGCAACTCTTCTCATCCTTTCTAATCCTAAACACTTTTAAAGCCCTGTTCCAGTCCGCAAGCCAAGCATGAAAGACAGTGGGGGACACTCTGTGATAGATAGGATATTACTACAGCTGTCAAGACCTGTTGCTCAAAACCAACATCCCTTTGGGGACAACTTCATTTAGAGATAATGGAAGCCAGAAGTAGAATAGCTGCCATTTTTCTTATCAGTCATTCAGCTGTAAATTACTTGTTTCAAACTACTCCTTAACTTTCTGGAGTTAGAAACAACAAATCGGTGACCAGCAAGCCAGCCTTTTGCCAGCCCGTGCTGCTTCTTTCAGCAACACGATGAGCTCCAAAGTGTCAGCAACTTCTCCTCATCCACTCCTGGCATTTAGAGATAGGCATTTTTGCTCTTTTTAAAATGAATCCATGGGCTCAGAGGACAGGATTTTGGAACAGCTTTTTCAAATACAAAGATTGTTGTTCTTTCTGTAAGGTGTGGTATTTTTAACTCTTTTAAAAAATCATTATTATTCAGAATTTGTAAATGTGAGCCAAATTAGTGTGATGTGGTTCGGTATAAAGCATGGCAAATCTTGTCCAGTTTCACAATTCCTTGCATAATCGCAACAATGACAATGTTTTGAAGTCTTTCCTTAATATGATCATGTAGTTGGAGAGCAGCAGTATGGAAGAGAGGCCAAAGTTCTGAACTCTCCAGATAGCAGGTTGGAGGTTCAACTCCCCAAGGTACACTGGTGCTAGACACTTGAGTGAGGTACTTCATTCAGTAAACTCCCTGCTGTACAGTATAAATGAGTCTGTATGCAGTATGTAAATAAGAATTTGTTCTCGGTTGACTAGCCTGGTGGAATAAACAGATCAAAGCTAGAGTCTGGTAAGGAATTACTGTACATGGTATCTTGCTGCTAAGAAAAAATATTAATATGAAACAAAGAACAGTACTGAACAGCACTGCTTGGACAACGTTCAACAGAACATTTGCATGAATTGTTTCCTACAGCAACATTCAAATTATTAAGCGTAGAGTTATTTTTAAAAAACAAGAAACAGACAACGTATTTTTTCCCAAGGAAAGGTAGAAAAGAATGTTTTATTGATCGTGAGAACAAAGTAACAGTGAAACCAAACTGAATAATGATCTGATATGGAAAATGTTTGTTAATTCATAAATTGAAGGAATCAGGAGAGGAGCCCCTTCACAAAGAATGCTGCCTACCACTCAGTGTAAAGAATAAATATTTGCATTTCATCTCAGCACTGAAATATGCAGATATTTCTGTATCAAGCGGCCAACTAATGAATTTTTATAATGTTTAAAAATTGCTAACATACTTTAACGTGCAGCGTTTTTTCAGTGTCTTAGTGTCTCAATAATGGTTTCTCTGGCTGGAGGAAGGGGGGGCCTATGGAAAGGGGAATGCATGCAAATAATAATAATGACAAAACAGAACAGGCCGTGGATTCAGTATAACAAAGAGGATGTTCATGAGAATCCATAAGCAATTAAAAAGTCATAACGTGCTGCATGCTGATTTCACAAGTGAAAAGAATTACTCCACTTATTGAAGACTTCTTGGCCAGATCTCTGAAAAAATATGAAGCCTCTATATTTGACTTCTGTGCAATGTAAGTCATGCACATTTTAAACAGTGCAGAATAATGTTTCCTTTCTTCTGTGGAACGTTATGCTGGAGAAACTTGCATCTTGTTTAAAAAACTTGCTTCTGCTTAGCAGCTAGGCTCTTACAAATTGCAAATGTATTTCTGAAGATCATCCAGCGATTGTGAGATGAATCTCTCTTGTTCTTCCTATATTGTATTGTAGAACAACAACACTTTCACAAGAAGGGACAATGTTAGTCATGTGGAAATTAGCAATGTTCCGAAACCTGCAAATAATTACAAATCAGAGCAGAATTTAGAATGCTGGTGAGATGAATAAGCATGAGCTGTTTTGCTTCTACTGGGTTAAATGAAAGTCAAAACTGGAAAAATACATTGTCAATTTTCAATTGATACACATTTGAAATAAAAAATAAGGATAAGCATACTTTCACTGTTGTATAGTGGAGATTGAGTCAGGAAAACCACAGCATGCTCTGGTTAGGTAGACAGATTTTATTTTCTTTTATTTCTTTTTAGAGATATTTAGACGTAATTAATTGAAAGACCGTTGTCCATTCAAACCACCAAATGACGGCACTCCTTACCTTTTTCCCCTCTTCCACAAAGCATAGTACACTAGGAAGCCCTGATCTGTCTAAGCCCTTGATTCATGTATTGATTAAAAAAAAACGTAATTTAATTATCTGGACGGAAGTGGTATTTAGATTTGTTGCACTTTAGTGTGAATGAGCGTGCCTCATTATTTGTCAAGAGTATGGGCTTTGAGGTATTCAAACACAGAGCACATCGCTTAAGTACACGGTTAAGTGTACTCGGTTCACTGACTCAGGCCCAGTGCTCTTCCGATGGGACTGTGTCCTGCCTACCGTCCTTATTGTGTATTTCCAGTTTACTCATTCACATTTTATATTGTGCTTAATCTATGCATTACAACACCATCACTGACCTATGTTCAACATATATTTTATTCATACAAGAAATTGTAAAATAAGGCTGGCATGGTGGCACAGTGATTAGCTGGGGCCCTGGGTTTCAATTCCGAATCTGGGGAGCTATCTGCCTGGAGTTTGTATGTTCGCTCCGTGCTCATGTGGGTTTCCTCCCACAGTCATAAGATATACAGGTAGGTTAATTGGCTGCTGTAAAAACAAATGGCCCTGGTGTGAGTGTTTGTGTGACTTTGCATGTCCCGTGAGGGACTGGCGTCTTGTTCAGCGTGTGTCCTGTCTTGCTCCCATTGCAGATTCCCCCACCACCCTGTACTGGACAAAGTGATTCAGAAGACAGATGATGAATATTTTATTATATAAATAAGATGCTGAAGTAAAAGTTCATTGTTAAACTTTTTTCATTAGAAAGTGTGTTGTAGATGGCATTTTATACACAAAGTGTATATGAGCCTCACCTTTCCTTTTTCAGTCCAAAAATGGGAATATGTGCATGGATTAAGCTTCCCAGCCATGCTGCAGTTGTCAATACCCTGGCTTTTTTCAGGAAATCACTGGATCGGATCCTTCATTTAGCTACTAATTATGAAATGGGCCAACAGTCCTGCTCTGTTTTGTAATCTTATGTTCATTTGACTGTTCTTGGGTGCCCTGTGCTCAGACAATCAATGAACAGCAGCACCCATTGTCTGACAGACCTCTGTTACTGCTGCATCCCACAACGCAGGGTGCACAGCTCCAGACCTGGAGGCCAGAAGGTTTCAGCTTTTCCATCCACTAAAGCCAATAACTAACCAATCGAACTCGTTAATGTCTTAAATGGACAAGTTGAAGTCTTTCCTTGTTCTTGAGCAGCCGAAGATTTAAACAGAGTCATAAAGCCTGCTGCACAGTGGCCCTTGTGGACTTTGTTGGACTCCTTGGGAGATGGGTTCCACTGCCAATAAGAAAGCTCCTTTAATTTTTCATTTTAATATTTGATTTAAGTTGCATTTTAGAGGACGTTCTTTAAAAGCTGTCTAAAAAGTTTTTTTATAAATAATGTTTCCTTAATTACAGTCAGCAATGATATCACATTCAGCTCCTCACTGTGGTGCTCTTTTGGCATTGTCTTTCTACTGACCTGTCGCACACACATAGTATCACAAACATATCACGCCCTCCTTATTGACATTTTAGCATATGCTTCTGATTACCTTCAGAAAAATGAGCCCAACATGCATACAAACATATTAATGCACGTTAAAATAGAAAATGTGTAGCGTGTTTTCAAGGCGAAGCTTTTATATTGTTTTTCTTTAATTTGTAATTTAGTTTCAGGAAAGATTCTTTAGTCTAAACTATTGTCAACAGTCACATTGTGTCCTGGACACATTGGCATTACATCTTATAGACAAAAGGGATAATTCCTTTCTCATTATCTTGCATTTTCTTAGTTATTTAAAGATTCGTGTAGGGGAAAAAAAGACTAATCATTACCGGAACAGTGCCAAAAAGAGAGATGGTACATACAGCATGTAGCGCTAACTGGAAACAAGACTTTACAGACTCAAAGCATTTTGTTACAGAGTTAATTCCCCGTGAAAAGTGCACTCTCTCTTTGTGCATTGTCTTTCTGGGAGTAGCAAAGAATATTTATAGTCTCACCTCCATACAACCATGGGATCGCCGTTTACTGTATATAAAAAGAATCGAGAGGAGACGGTTAGCTTCGGTGTTTTCGCTGTTCCTCGTTTATTTTAAACTCGAAGTCCGGCCGAGTAACCGTTTCTCTGTCCGCGCTCCTAACGCGGTTTCCAGCCGCACTGTAGCGAATTGAAGGAAAAACTGCCTTAAGGCACCATGAGTCAAATCTTATCTGCCCCTTACAAGAAGTCCACGTACAGAAAGTACTCTTAGCCAAACCGTCTCTGATAAGAACTCCATTTACAGTTAGACTTCATTCTGAGGAACATTGCCACTTAAAATGATTTAAAAAATGGTTTTATTTCTTATTGAAACCTTTACCTCATATCATTTAAAATTCAATATATAATTACAAAGTTTGGAAAGTAACTTTGTTTTTTTCCCTACATATCCTAAAACGTAATTACTAATAGATTTAAGATTAAAATTACTAACATATAATTTAAGAATGCTGAATTCTTGATTAACTGTTTGAATTGCCTTCAGGAATCGGTGTTTATAAAAACGATATTCTTCTTTGATATCAGTGATGTAGACTGATAAAATTATTAAGAAGCTATGGAGATGAATACAAAATCTTTAATAGCAGTTACTGTATGGCAACGGTTTCTGTTTCAATCCCTTTATGATCTAGTGTCTACTGGTTTTTGTTCCAACCTCAATAGTTAGCTTAACGATGAATCTAATTATTTTCTTATACATAAAATTGGTCTTTTTAACAGCTGAATATTAAAACTTTTCAATTCAATGAAGGTACAGCTGCATGCAAAACACTTCGGAGTCTCGTTAGAAGTACAGTATTACAGTTATACAGATAATTACAGTTTTAGCTCAATTATGTAACAAAAAGCTTGATTGGAAGAAAACCCAGAAGAGATCACGCCCTCTAGGACCTGAGTTTGACACCTTCAGACTGTGGGGAGCAAAGTGGACAAACACAAGCAAATTAAATATAAGGAACAACAGGTTTATTCCACGCCCTTTTCAGCATGGAATAAACCTATTACTTCTTCCTTTGCAGCCTACGCATGCTGACGCAGCTCCCCACCTAAACTAAATTAAATATAATGTAAATAAACAACACGTGGTTACCATGGTGATCAGCGCCGCTGCCACCACAGGGCTCTTGGGTTCTGGATGTCATTCTGGCCCGGAGCACCTTCTGTGTGGAGTCTGCGTGCTCTCATGGGTGGGTTTCCTTTCAGTGTTCCAGTCTCTTCATTTCTTTGAAATCCCAGGAACCTCCGAATTGCGTGGACGTGTAATAGGCTCAGCTTGTCACACGTGTGCCAGTGGTGGCCAGAGTGTGGTCCCGCTCCGTGTCAGGTTGGGCTCGGACTCGCGGCGGCCCCAGAGGCTGAGACACCTGTGGGTGAGGGGTGATGTTCAACCATGACGCCTGACTGTAAAATAAATGATCAAAAACGCGTTGTAGAAAGCAAATCAAGAGTCGAGTAATTGTTTTTGCACAATGAGTGGTCATCTATGTATTGTTTAACTGTAATCTAATTTGGCTAGACTCAACTTCAGATTCGCTGCAGACTGGAACTGGGACAAGATCTTTGATTTCGCAATGATCCTCTTTTACAAATACACATCACAACTCTTCTCTACCGCTACAGGGTAACCCGGACCTCTACATACTGGTAACCTAGCAAATAATCCAATTTATAAAAATGCATCAACCTCATAGATTACAGAGAAAAGACAAGTGCGGACGTTGATTGGGGAAAGCCATAGATACAATTATAGTTTTTTTTTAATCGTTTTTTCGTTTTTCCCTAACGAGAACTTTGGACTGTAATTAACATTAATACGTAAACACATTCTGTGAGTAATCTCAAAAGGGTCATTCTCTCCTGTCCTGCATCATTATTCGCATCTGCTGTGTTACGCAAAAACGGCTCTTATATTATTATACAGATTACCGTGAACTAGTGGGAATGATGTCAGAAGAAAATGGGTTATTGACCTAGATTGCGTTACCCTCGCGCACACTGGAAGGAGTTCGTAGGCTTGTGGGTATTGTAGTTCATTGACTATTAACCTAGGATTCTGTATCCTGATTTGTGTGTAGATGAGAACAATTGAAATCTGAACAGAACGGTTTAGTATCGATACCCTGCACCGTATGTCTTGTTAGTCAGCCCTCTCTAGATTATGCGATAATAAAGAACTTTTTTATGACGAAAAACTTCAAATCCCACAAGCCAACATTGTAGTCACGCAGGCGCCGTCTACGCCTCGCTGCGGACGTGTGGATCGGTTTTCCATGAATGGGTGGTGGATATGTATGTCTGGGCGATGAGTGTTTTATAAAACGGAAATCGTTTTCTGATATTATGGAATATTTTTTATTTTAGTCTCCGGAGCTGACGGATGTTTATCTTTAACGGAAATCTTTCTTTCAGAACTCCATCTTCTGTCTACGGAAGAGCGGGGATTGTTTTGAAACAGCGCAATAGAAACGCAATCTCACGCAACTGTGCGAGTTTGTACCCTGCACTCGAACTAGCCTGCGGATCCACAGATAATGCCTCGGGACAACATGACCTCTCTCATCCAGAAAATTGCCAGGCAAGCCCGCACGACATTCAGGAACCGCGGCTCGTCCTCCATCGGCGAAAACAGTAAAGTGTTTCTGGAGAACCACAGTAAACTCAGGGACCTCCTAGCCGAGATCAGGTCGGAAGATCTTAAAATTGTCCCCAGGAAAGTCGACAGCGCCGCGATCTCGCTACCTCACACGCCCCCGGTGACTTACATGCACATATGCGAGACCGACGCGTTCAGCATGGGGGTGTTTCTGCTGAAAAACGGCAGCTCCATCCCGCTGCACGACCATCCGGGAATGAACGGGATGCTGAAAGTCCTCTACGGCAAGGTGAGGATCAGCTGCTTTGACAAGCTGGATAAGCCCGCAGACGCCGCTTGCGAGGCGCAGTTCACAGCGCCCCAGGTGCCGTACCGCAAGGATGCTTTGAGGAGGTCGGTGCTCAGATCCATTGGGGAGTACACGGAGGAGAGTGGGCCTTGTATCCTGACTCCCCAGAAAGACAACCTCCATCAGATCGATGCCGTGGACGGACCCACGGCGTTTCTGGATATCTTGGCACCGCCTTACGATCCCGATGACGGGAGAGACTGCCACTATTACAAACTCCTGCAGCCGGTGTCGGACAACTCGGGCAAGAAGTCAGAGTCTCAGGAGCAGCAAGAAGTGTGGTTACTGGAAATCCCGCAGCCCCCTGATTTCTGGTGCGGGGGTGAATCCTACCCTGGTCCCGAGGTTAAGCTCTGAGGAGCGGTTCCGTGATCTGTCGAATTACAATAGTTACAATAGTAGCTCTAAAACTACAGTAACGGATCTGTTGAATGAGTCACAGGACCTACAGGCTGACATGTTGGTTGAAATTCACTTTGTAGATAGTTTTACATAAAAAGGGTTCATCAGCCAGCTTAGAGCATTATTAATAACTGTCTTTTTTTGAGAATTGCTTCTGTAGACAAGGCGTTAGCGTGAAAGCCGTGTCATCTTATATCCCTTGTTATGTTTAATCATTGTCTATACTTAAAACGTGTAACTCAAGTAAATTGATTTGCAAAGCATTTATTGCGGTTCTTAAGTGTGATTACCTTAATTGTAGCCTTCAATTGCATTTAAATTATTTGAAGTGAGAAAATTATTATACATTGTCCTAACTGCTATCTAAATGTTTTTTTAGCTTATCTAAATAAAATATACACTCACTTGTACATGCTTTTCTCAGTTTCAGATTGATTCATCTAGAAAACAAAATCAAATTGGGAATAGTATGTTTGCGAAAGATACTCATGGTAATGTTTAAGGAACACCACAAAAATATTTAACAATAGACAGATACTCCATATTTCAGAATGACGTGTGCAATAGTTTTGTTATATGGTCTGCAGTTTATTGAACAATGATTCAGGAAAACGTTTTTCATCATTCAGTAATAAAAATGGCAATAAGCAGCTAAATATGGCAGCCAAACGAAGTTTTTTCCTGCACAATAGTTTACAGGAAATAAAGGAAGGTAATGTTCCCATTACATGTGAGATTGGGTCAGGAGTTCTATGGTACAATGTTCAGATCCTTCTCTAAGTGCTCCATAAGCCAATGAAAAGTTAATGATTAAAAGATTGTATTGATGTCCAAAAGAAGGAGTTTGCATGAAGCACAAATATAATTAACTTAATGGGTGCTAGAATGATTCTTAGCATAAAAACGTCTCAGATACAAAAATGAAACCCATCCATTTCCCTTTGTTTTAATTTTTCTTATCCATGGTGTCTCTGTGACATCCAAGAAGCTGCTTTACAAATGACAACTATTTGAAAATGATACAAAACAGAAAAAAGTTCATCTTCCCTTTTCCAAACATATAACCCAATTAAAAGCATGTAAGGGGAAGACACGCCAAGAGAACATCATCAGTACTCTTATCAGGGGAGTCTTTAATTGTTAGCTGAAAACTAATTAATTTATAACCGACAATAGGAAACATTTCTCCACAAAAAGAGTTGTGGGTGTCTGGAACAAATGTCCCAGCCAGGATAAACTGATGGACAGAAGTTTAGGTTCAAAGTGAATTGTGTAATGTTCTGTGGTTTGGAGATGTCTTTTGTACAAAGTCTTCATGGTGTGACACTATGCTGCAATGTCCCAGGTTTTCACCTGCAGTAGTTTTTCCTTACCTGCTCTGTTGGAACTTTTCCTGTGGCTGTTTTTTTACTCTCGTGCTTCTGCTCATGAGAGTTTTACCACAGGGGGGTCTCAGACTGCATTCCAGGCGGGACCAGTTTTTTGCTGCTTATCCGAACCTCACAGGTCAATGAAATAACTTCATTATTTTTTAATCAGATGCATATAGAATTTTTTTCTTGGGGTCCACATACTTCAGATTTCTCAAAACATTCGCTTCATTAAAGATTCTGTTATGTCAAAAACACTTAAGAGCCTGGTTAGAAGTGTTATAATTAGGCAGTTTATTAACTAATTACACCAACTGTGTAACTGAGAGCGCATTTTGAATGCAAGATGCTGGTCCCTCAAGGAACTGAGTTTGAGACCCCCTGTTTGGCGTTTGTCATGATTCAGCTGTGATTAAGAGCTCGTCCACGCACTGTGGAAAAAGCAGTACAGCCTTATTGAATGTTTGAATCAGCATGGCCAGATGTAGTGCTGGATTCATTGTTGCAGCACTCTTCGTTTTTTTTTTCAAATGTGTGGGAATATTATAAAACCGAGCAAAAAGAGCTTTTGAAATCAACTAAAAATCAGACAGGAGTGGAAGTAAAAGAGAGTTAATTACCACCCTCTCCCATAGACATGCTGAGCTTGTGGCTCTGAGGGTGCAGAAACTGCTCCTCACAGATGAGCACAGATTAAAAAGTTTTCTGATTGATGGCCAGGACGGTCCAGAATGGATGGGGTTTGCCTGGGAGAACTGGCAGGTACATCTTCTTTTGAAGGTTCATCTTCTTCTTCCTTAACAGAAGTTGCGATGCAGGGACACTTGACACATGAAGATTAAGGACGTGTTTTAGAGCCGTGATGGAGAGTGGAGAGAGAGAGCTTGGGTCGAGGTTGAAAAGGCTAGTGGTTTGTGGAGGCGGGATGGGCAACCTCAGTCTTTGAGCCACTATCAGTCCCTCTGCTCTATTTTTTCATCCCTTCTCTGACCTTAATTCCTTACCTGAGCGCATTCTTCAGCTAAGAAGTCAATTACTCTTATTTAGGTCTTAAAAAGCTGTTAACTGGAACATGGTACAAACTGCAGGATTCTGAACCTGAGGGACTAAGGTTGTCCATGTCTGGCGTAGAGCTTGGAACCACTCTATGAAACTGAATTTTCTTGATGGTTAAATCTGCATACATTAACATTATTAACCTTTTATGCTAGTCGCATTGGGAATGATGGACCATTTTTATATGCCTGTCCCAAACAAAAAATTGTGTTGCAGGGAAGACAGGAAAGTGTAAATTGTACCTGCAGTATTCAAATAGGCTCTTCTACAGACTCCTTCCTGTTCCCACCAACCCCAGTTTGATTTTGTGTATAAACCTGAATGCTCCACATGAGAGACATGGTTTAAAATGTGATTCAAAGTTGCCCTGTGCTTTGTTGATGTTTGAGGCTTTACATAAAACCAGTTTGCTCCTTTATGTGGTGTTGGTCGTCCAATGGGTAGCCCTCTCTCTTCTGGTCCAGAATTAGTGCCCAGTTATTGGCATGGTGGGTAGCAGCGCTGGGGCCCTAGGTTCAGTTCCAGACCTGGGGTGCTAACTCTGTGGAGTTTGTGTTCTGCCTGGGTTCACATGGGTTTCCTCCTGTAGTTAAAAGGTACAATATGCTGGTAGGTTAGTTGGCTTCTGTGTGTGTCCGGTGAGGGACAGGCCTCCCATCCAGGGTGTACCCTGCCGGAACAGGCCCCAGCTGCCCCGCGACCCTGTTCTGGATAAAGCAGTTAGAAAGCGGATGGACGGATGCCCTATTATAGTGACCTGAGGGGCTGTGCTGTTGCAGGTATCAGCCTTTGAATGGGCTGTTGAACTGAGCTCCTCACTACTTGAGCATTAAAGATCTCGTGGCTCTGTTAAGGTAGGAGTGATTTCGGCATCCCTACAGCTCTCCCCTGATGTCGCTGGTGCAGTGAGTTCTCACTCCCCCGCCAGGTGAGCAGTGCAGTGGAGCTGCTGGTGCAGGTAGGTGCTGCACTGCGGTGGTGGGAGAAGTGGTCTCCTGTGTGTGAAGTGCTCTATGGTCCTCTGGGAGGACTGCAGTTACTTAAGTGAGACATTAGTAGTGAATGTGACTTCCTGCTGCTTTATGTCAAATTTAATGAGTTTCACACTTCAGACAGGACTCTAGAATGAATTCCTCTGTTTTCCTTACTTTCATGGAGCTGAAATAAAGTATGTGTATTTTATTGGATGGTTATTACAATTACTATATATTTACAGTAACATTACTTCTTTTAAAAAGTCCACACTGCTTGCTTTTGTGGCATTTGAGTCCATTTTTGCTAACTATTGTGAACAGTAAAGGCAGTCATAATGCCCAGTTCAGTTCTCAGTGTAATTGCCTCTAATTGTCAATCTAGAATTATAAAGCCGCTTTGTCAAACTGATGATTAGGTCTGTCTTCCACTGAAGTAGTTTCAGTTAACAGTTTAGCATACTGTACTTCATTGGTAACAAATATGTCCTGTCACTTCACAGAGTAGATCGTGAAACTGATACATTTCTTTTATTCTTATGAATGCACCATTTAACGCCAACATTCGAACTCTTCAACAGCAGAAGCTGCCTCTAGAAAATAGGAATATTAAACTTTTCAACATGATTAGCACACAATGCTGATTCTTTAACAGCTATTTATTTGTTTTTTTAATTTAATGCTTATTTTCAAAGGTTGTTTTTGATATTATTTTTTATTTTCCTAGAGAATAGTATGTGCTGTTATACTGGAATGCATAAGGCAGTGAGAAAGGTTTCTGTCATGTGGGTAGAGCTGGAGTATTTTAGCCTGGTGTGTCTTAAGCATCTGCTCAATTTAGTAAAATAGTCCAGGTCATGAGCAAAGAAAATATTGTGCCAAGTGAAAGAAAGTTAGAGAAATGGCGTTTTCTTTAATTTTGAGAGCTGCATCTACAGACATTTTTGACTTTTTTTTTACCAGATATTTGTATCCATGAATTTGTATTTTACATACATTGTATATATTCTGTACACCGCAGTCTCAAGTCTGATAGTCCTATAGGTAAGGTTCTAACACTACGCTGCATGCTATGCTGTCAGTATTGAAATATTCACAATATTTTTCATACAAGGTGGGGAAGGGTCTTTATCACAATAGTTATCTATGTTTATTTTCCCTGTGTTTTGCTTTCTTGCTATACATGTGTAGTGACAAGCAACAAGAGGCTTAGTGGTCTGTCTAATTACAATTCTGTCTGACCTCACAGTTCATTGCCCTCCATGCCTCTGGAGGATTCCTAGTTTTATGCCTCTCCCATTTTGAAAAACCTAAACCACATTGAGCAAGATCACAAACTCATCTGCTAGGGTAGACATTTTTGTAATGGTTTGGTTGCTGAACATAGTGGTGCAGTGTGTTGTTTTGCTCTGTTTGTTTGTTTTTCAGGACTACGTTTTAAGTGTGTAATCTGCTGAGAAATATTTCAAATGTGTTCCATACAGAAAACAATACAACTGAAGATGGCTGTAACACAGAAGAGGACTGCTGTAGTTTAAATCACTAGAAGGAGTAGTATGCTTTATGGGTGACACTGAAAAGCTTTGGTGGACCATGGTTAGGTAATTAGTCAATTCTTACAAGAACAAATTACTGTTAATTATGTAAGAGAGTATAAAACCCAGAGTCCTCTGTTTGGCCCATTTAGTAGTTTGGTAATCATCCTTGTCTCTATCTCATTGTATATCTTATTTCCAAATGTTATATTTTACAAATGCCATATTGAAGTTCCAAATTGCTTTTGGAAGGTATAGATTTGTGAAAAGCAGTTTTATATACATTATGTTGTGTATGTGACACTTGCCTTGACATAACTGAGAAATATTTATGAACAGTCCATAAACATTACAGGCCTTACTGAACATATATGTAATTTCTGCACTTTTTCCCTTAGAAGTTGTTATTGTTTTTCATAGTAGCAGCAGACATAATAAGTAGGTAAACCTTTGAGTTTTTGTCAGCAATCAAAGTAAAGAATTAAGTTATTGTAAAGATTAAATGATAAAAGTAGCTCTTGCCTAACTATAAATGTTGTCTTCATGTAAAACGTTTATTCCCCTTAAGTAGAGTTTCTGAAATTATAATTGTTTTTGTGTAGTGTTTCTTTTATCTTTGCATGGCCATTAGCAGAAAAACAACATAAATACAACTAAATAATGTATCTGATTGCAAGTTTTTGCTTTCGTTAATCTTGTGCAGTTTATGTAACAGTGTGGTGGATCATGTGTGGTTAACTGGTTGCTCATCCTAATTTATCTTATTAGTTCTGAATTTTATTTTGATGGTGTTGCATTTCTTGTTTTGTTTTTTCATGAGCAGGCTGAGGTGGCCCAGTGGAGCAGTGGTAAGCAGTGCTGCTTCAGTGGGGCCCTGGGTTAATTTCCTGGGGTGCTTTAGAGTGGAGTTTGTGTGTTTTCTCCGTGTTTGTGTGGGTTTCCCCAAGATGCTTCAGTTTCCTTCCACAGACCAAAGACAGTGTTCAGTTAACAATGGGGAAATCGGTGTGCGTGTGCTCTGCAATGGTGTACCCTGCCTTATGCCCATTGCTTGCTGGGATATGCTCTGTGTCCCATGTGACCCTAAATTGGATAAAGCAGTTAGGAAATGGATGGATTGATGGATAGAATTGGTTACCTTTGTTAAGGATCACCCCTTAAGTGGCACATGCATAATGTACATTTTTTCCCATTGGCTTGCATCTGTTTGTGATGTAAAGACAAATGTTTACATCTTTTTTTGTTGTTGTCATTGTTGTTGTTTCAGCTCATCTTAGATTTTGTTAAATATAGTTACACCATGATACCCGTGTGGTTCCTGTAATGGAGTCCCCAGAGAGCCCCAGTACACAAGGTTTTATAGGCAGCCTTTTAACTGTCTTCTCAAGGCCTGGAAGAATTTAACTATGATCAATTAAATAGGTGGTGTGTTCAATTAAGTCATTTCATATACATTTCATTTCAAATTCAAATTCATGGAACTTTATTGGCATGGTTGATTAATTATGGTGTAGCCAAACTAGTTACAAATAACATAAAAATTACATACATTTATAGTATAAACACATTATTGGACATATGGTGAGACAGACTCCCTCTGTGTTCCTCAGGATGTGATGGGAGATCACATACTGGGCTCCAGTTTTATTGAGTTTCCTCCCCCAGTAAGATTGGAAGCTGTTCCTATTCTGGCAGATGTGGGGGGATTGTGGGATTAGATTTGTTACTTTAGGGAAGAATGTCTAATCCCAATTTTTTTCTCACAGTGTATCAGAAAGTGCATCTCTGTCTCTGATTCTCCCTGCTGGCAGTGGGAGCACAGCCTGTCCTTTCTGGTCAGGTCTGCCTGTGTCGCCCAGTTTCTATGGCCAGGCTGTGGTCACTGAGCCTGTACTTCTTCTGTGTTTCTCTTTGCTGTCTCTTACCACTGTGTATTGTCTTTTTAGGGTCCTGTCACATTCAAGTTTGTGTTGTGTTTAAGTGTGTGTCCCAGTGGGTGAGGTAGTGTTGTTTGGTTGTTTGTGCTGTAATTTGGTAGACTGATTCAGGAGTCTCCAGTCCTGGCCTTACAGTGCCCACTTAGTCTTATATCCCTCTATTTTCTAACCACTTCAGCCAGTGCAGTGTAGCCTTGGAGCCTGAGCCTATCCTGGGAAGCAATGAGCTGAATGCGGGATACACCCAGGAAGGGATGCCTGTCCGTTGCAGGACTATGGGAGGAATATGGAACACGTGGAGGAAACCCACATGAAGATGGGGAGAACATCCATGCAGATAGCACTCCAGGTTTGGAATTGAACCCAGGGCCCCAGTGATGTGAGGCAGCGATGCTAACTAATGCTCCACTGTGCCACCCACCTTAGTAGGACAGGTCTCCCTAAAACAGCTGTTTTGTAAAGATTGGAAACTCTTGGAAATAATTGGTCAGTTAAGCAAGTTATGTTTTGAGTTAATGGAACGCTGGTCTTCGATGGTTAGAGGATATTTTGTTTTGTGTTCCATGTGATTTTTAAAATTAAGGATTTTAGTTAATCACGTGATTAATTGATCATAGTTAAGTTGACTCAGTTCTTAAGAAATTGGTGGAAATTGACACCACTTAGCATGTTTTGCATAGTCCTAGTCGCGCCTGTTAAAACTGACCTGATTTTCGCAAAAGGGATAATTAACATCACTTTATTAGCCCTATACAATTTCTTGCATTAGGAATTCATCTTTTCACATACCCCAACTTGCTCTCCATGAGACACAAATAGGGAGAGAGCCTGAGGTCAGAGCACAGGGTCAGCCTTTGTACAGTGTCCCTGGAGCAGTTGGGGTTAAGGGCCTTGCTCAGGGGCCCAACAGAGTAGGATTCCTCTGCCAGCTGTGGGATTTGAACTGGCAACCTTCCAGTCACAGGCAGAGATCCTTAGCCACAGAGTCACCACTCCGCCCCAAATTGTAAGTCTCTTTAAACGTCTGCGCCCCTCGCCCTTTTAAAAAGCCAAAGAGCTCATTAGTGTTCCTTCCCATGATTCCCAGGGACCGACGGTGGGGAGGAAGGGTTTTTAGTAATTGATCATTTCTTTTTAACCTCGACTGGACGGGGCTCTCCAGGCCTACGGATAGAGTCCTCTGTCCTAACTGCTGAAAACATTTCTTGGTGACTAACCTAAAAATAGTTTGTTCAAGAATTACACCAATATTGGCAACACAATATGTTACTTTAGGCGGTAGTTATGAATAAAGGACTCTGCTTATTTTGATGTTAATACGTATGCTAACATCCAGATTCCATTTCTAAAATACCCAGGCTGTTTTCAACTTGATGAAGTCGGTAAGGAGCGTTTTCTACTTCCTATATTGTTTTGTATTTTGGATCAAAGAAATATAAATATTTCGAAAAAATGTAATATATTAGACTACACTACACACCCTTCCTCCTTCTTACCATCATTAAAACCATAACAATAAAAATAATAGTCCTTGATAATGAAATCATGAGCTCACTGGAAGTTCGGACAGAACTACATAAATCATGAACGGAGTCCCCGTTACATTCATTCCTGCATCCATAGACAAGTTCGTGAAGCCTTTGGACATGAATCATAACGCAGACAGCAATTACACGCAGTAAGTCACATACAATTACAATGGGTGATATAAAGTGAAATCAGTCATGTAAGTATGTGAAACCTACGGTCTTGGACGCAGGTCTATACAGCTGTTGCAAATCAACAAAATTGATCGATTCTCTTTACGGATGAGCACAAGTCCTTCACTTGCCCAGTTATGTGCAAATGATATAAAAAACTTTATGTACACCCTTGAATAAAAGCGCGCACTTGGTTAAGTATAAAAGGTATGATTCCCTGCTTTCCAATCACAAGTAGCTCATAATCAGAGAGGAATTCAGACTACTTGGTTGGCTTGCGATGCACAGTACTCGAAGCGCAGTCGCAATTGGGAACCAGGAGCTGAAGCGCGCCGGAAACTGTACTTCTGATTTCGCTCAGATTAGGTTACCTCACGAGGATTTGCCTGCAATTTATAGCATAACTGTATAGATGACTGTCTTCACCACTCATTGAAGAAAACGTGCAACTGTTTTGTAAAATAAAGAAAAGGCCAAACTGATACCCTATTTACAAAAACAGGGGGGAAACGCGGTGCTTCCCCCCAGTATATATCTATAGAAACACTGTAAGCGGGTATGTCTGGTGACTTCGAAACGTAGAAGGGAGGTTCTAGGGATATTACCGAGTCTTTTCTTGCAGCTCAGTGTTAAGTTCACCCATTGTTGTTCTGAAAATCACCGCCTGTAGCTTTTTAAAAATAAATTGCCTTTCCTGTTTACTGCGTGCGTAGCTGTAGCTTTAAATGCAACAGTGCAGCGCGAAGGTTGTTAAAGATGGTTTGCCGTAACAGTTTTGAAAAAAAAAAGTCCAGACTTCAAACTTTAGAACTATTTGCTGTTCCAAATACCAGAGCGTGCTTTGAGTGGGTGAATACACTTGTGAAACGGTGAGTCACAAGATTAATTGATATGAGCGCTCATTGGGAAATCCCCAAGCAAACAGCTTTATTTTAGACTTTTACGTCTGTATACTTCTTTCCATTGCTTCACTGTAACTACTGGCAGGTAATGATGCTTTAAAACACCGAATACTGGTCAAAATCGTTTATTTTTTAATTGACAATAAAACAATACACATCCGCTGTGACTGACCTTCGTTAGTGGTTTTGTACCAAATACATTGATTTCAGTCTTATTAAACATTCAGGGCAAACAAACGTCACATCGGCGTGAGTAATAAAGTATTTACATTCTCTCTTTACTACAAATGCAGCACTTTTCAAAATGACACAAAACAATGCGTACAAAAATATATAATTCTAAAAAATATTAAACGGCTTGAATATTATACAGCTTGGTTGAAAACGTCCTTAGAAATATGTACAAATAAAGATGTAGATGACCTAGCAAAACAAGGCACAACGGGAAAGCAAACAATCAACAAGCAATTTTACACCAACACATTTGACCTCTTAAATAACTTAAAATATTTGTATTCACAATTATTGCAAATCTATATTTTCCCTTTCATATTCATTCCGAGACTCCTCCGGTTCAGATCAAGGGCTGATAGGGACAATTTATCATAGAACACAGAAAAAACTATTAGTTATTATAGCAAGACACGTATGAAAACACTGTTAGGTAGTAAGTAGAATAAGCAATTTTAACTTTTGCCCTTGTAAAAATAAACACTTTTAGACGTCAATTGTCTTCTAAGCTCATAAAAAAAAGTTTAACATACTTAAAACAGCAAAGTGCGTATCAGTCAGTGGTCTGTAGTAAAACCAAGGAAACAGAGCAAGGCGCGCCGTAGTTACAGCAGGCTAAACTGCAACTCAAAAGTGCACATTAATATAGAGATGATGCGGGTCTGACATTTTGTTCCAGCGCAGGACATATTCACGCGCTTTAGTAACATCCAAAATCTCTACAGAAGAAAAAAAACATTCAAGTACTCTTCCTTTTAGAACATGACCCTTATCGTTATTGATGTTGTAGATGTATTAGTGTTTGTTACGTATTTAGACCGCCCTGGAGGGACACGCTGAAAGCTGGTTGGTACCTGTTTGGCAAACGCCCCCAGAGGATGTGCTAATACTAACCGACCTTTCTGAATTCTGAGCTCCGGTGTTTGTCGGGGCTACCGACGCCGATTTCCTTTCCTTCTGTCTGAGGTGGATTTTCGTGTGCCTCTTCCGTTCGTCGCTCCTGGCGAATTTTCTGCCGCAGAAATCACAGGCGAAAGGCTTCTCGCCGGTGTGCGTGCGGATATGGGTGGTGAGGTGGTCGCTGCGACTGAAGTTTCTCATGCAGATCCGGCACTGGAAGGGCTTGTGCCCGGTGTGAATTCGGATGTGCCTGGTCAGTTCGTCAGAGCGGGAGAACCTCCTGTCGCAGCCTTCCGCTGGGCATGGGTACGGCCGCTCGTGGACAGGGGTCTTGCTGGGGCGATTCGGGTACTTCCTCGGCCGCAGGATAGGTCTCAGGGGTAGATTCTGAGGACTGTAAGCGGCTGGCAGCCTGGGTCCATCTGCAGCTGGCCCTCCTAACGTAAAATTCCTTATAGTGTTCAGAGGGGTGAGAGGCGGTGGGACCCTGATTGACTCCAGTGGACATGGGAAAGGCTTGCGGTCAGGGACAGACTGGATGTCCCTCTGGCACGGAGGCTGAAACAGGCTAGAGTAGTCCGGGATAATGGGGAAGAGAGCGCTGTCCGAAGCTGGCTTGGGCGACGAGTAGGAGGGAGGGGGGTACGAAATAGGGCAGGTGGACGTGGACAGAAAGGCGGACGGGTCTTGATAGACCTCTCCGCAGCCCGAGTACGGAGGAGGCGGAGAATAGAGGTGATCCATTTCGGGCTGGTTCTGTGCCATGGAGCAGCTCAGCGTGCTGGAGAAATGGTTCGGTGAGACCGAGGATGCCGGTGACGAGGACGACGAGGAAGGCTGACTCATGCCCAGGATCCCAGCGCTGACGATGTTTATAACGCTCTCCGGATTCCAGTTACTACCTGGGTACTGAGAGTCAATGGAGAACTTTCCCATGTAGGTGAAAGTCTGATTGCGAGGCGCTGTAGGCTGGGTGAAGCTGCTGGAGTAAGCCAAGTCTAGAGACCTTTTTTCTGTACTCATGTCCCCATTGATCATGCCATCTGTGAAATGACAAACACAAAAAGAGAATTAGTTACCGATCTTGAAGGTATTGCTGCTCGCTTTCCTATGTGAGATGTTAGCGGCTGCTCGGGCTTTTGAACTCGCGTCCCCCCAGGTCGAGAGTTTTCATTTGTTGTTGTTTTAACGCGCAAGAGAGTTAAAGGCATCATTGTCAAGGGAATGCTTGTTAAGATTATCTAGAAGACGTAACGACACTCATTTCAGAATAAGTAAACGATACGCAGATACCAGACTGCCGTCGCTCAACTGGCGGTTCGAATGAACACCTGTTTTAAGGCAGCTTGGTTTAGCGTCCGCGACAAGAAACGCGACCGGGTCGATAACGTGCTGAGCTGCTCTAGCGGCGCTCTAGTAATTTCACATCAGTTAACAGACTAGTTGTAATCATTCCCTCCATCCTCTCCAGTTTATCGCATTTGATTAGCTTGTAATATCAACAGCGGAGCCGTGATGCTATCATGAAAAACACTCCAACGATGCTGTCTGTACATTAGGAGACCGGTACACACCTCCCCTCCTGAAAAGGAAAAAAAAAGTTTTGTAGGCGAAGCTTACCTCCTGAAACTCCGCTAATGTGGTCAAAATGCCCTCCTAAATCGCCATTTGGAAAGATTGCCACGGAGGCTGGTAAAGTAGTGGAGATCTCATCCACTGAGTAGATGTTTTCAGGAAGAGTGTGTACAAAACCACTGAGCGATACGGGGGTTTTCTCCAGAGTTTTGGCTGTCATCATTTAGCCAGTGATCGGCTTTGCACAAGCTTGTTGTGTGCAAGTATGTATTTAGTTATTATATAGTTGTATGAATTTGTTCTTCTTCCCTCAACGAAAACAAAACCGTTAACTCAAATTTGCTGTCACAGAAGCAGACTCCACTGCCACTGTCATATGTTGTATTGTAAACACACACCTAATGATATCCGCAGTAGCCGATCTGTTTAGTGAATGACAGATCTCGGTGGTTGGGTGAGTGCTACTATGTATTTATGGAGTGTCTTTGAATACCCACTACGTCAGTGCCCATATAAGGACTGGGATGGGCTTGGAAGGCTTTGTGACGACATCAAAGGAGACTTGTCAATGGAGAAACCTCGGGCGAGAGATGTCTGTGACACCCGCAAGCATAAGAGTCCTCACGGAAAGCAGAATTAAAGGAGAAAAAGTTTACCGATGCTCATTTAGAATTATATCCTTGAACCCTTTTCTTTATCTGAGTTTGCATCTTTGAAATTCGTGTATTTGTAGTGATTTAGAAAGGAGGATATTTCAATTCTGCTATGAGAAATTCCGGTTCAACCCCTACTCCATACATGGCACTTATCCGGTAATTGAAGATACACCCATTAATCCATATATGGGGCCCATTCCGGAAAATGAGCGTCGGAAAATAACGAGCCGTGCCGAGCATACACAGAACAGCCACTCAATTCTCGCTATCATCTGAAAACCACAATCAAATGAAAGGCACAATCACGGAATTTTCACCTTTTATGAATTAGTGGCGGAAAGTGTGCTATTTAAATGTGTTTGTGGAAAGTAGAGGTGCTATTTATACAGTAGGAAGTGGAAATTATGTTCGTTCTTCATAGGCAGTAGTTTTAAATAGTCAAATAACACTTCATATTCAGTCTAACGCTGTAATATGAAGCGTGCTTACCCTCTGAAAATCATCTGTGCCTTTCAATACTGTTTCTAGCCACAGCGTGTCTCGAAAGGAACAAGTAAAGGTTAATTCCACACTGAATAATAGAAAGGGAAAAACAACGTCCCGACTTTTTCAAGTGTCTCAAAATACTGTAAAGGAATACACGAGCCAGTTTTGATTATTTACCTATCAAATGCAAATGATTCTCTTTTGTTTATAATAAAAAGGATCGTATTGTAGCGTGATCATTTTAAAATGTCCCGTTTCCATCTTTAACCGGCGACTTTATGAACATGTGATGTTACCAGACTATGTTCACATATACCGCCTGTAGTATTTGTCTAGGGTTCTTTTGCGGTCTTTGTTCTTTTAAGTAAGTCTGTTGTATTTTTCTCTTTATCTGTATTTTTGCCTTTTTAAAGTTGAGAGAAAAAGTTTATAAATTGTAGAGACAACCGTTTTTGTTAACTTTGTCTACTACTATTGCGGCTGCTACAACTCTGTTGCCGAGGTGATAGTAATGCGCGCGTGACTTCTACGGTCGCCACCCAGTGGCAGATAAAGGAAGTGCGAGCGGAGTAGTCGAAAAACAGCGTCGCGTCTTTACTGATGTCTTGTAATTTGATGGTAATGCGTTCGTTCTCTCTTTCTCTCTCCCCATGAAAATATAAAAAATCAAGCCACTTTTCTTTTCTTTCATGAGACCTGGCTGTATAACACAAAGACATTCTTTGGCTAAAAGGTACATATGGTGACGAGGAGATATCAAGAAATTAAGAATGCATCACAGTAAACTTTGGTCAGCGACGCAAAAACAAAATCTTACCATTGAGTAGCTAAATATAGGTTTTTAAATGATTCCATTCAGTGGCGATATCAGCGACGCCCCAAATAAAGCAAGAGAGATGGTTTGGGTAGTTATAAGTAAAATTCCCCCGTGGGCAGAGAAACCTAACTGTTAATAAAAGAGACAGGGGAGGGGGGAGTGAGAGGGGGCGGAATATTATTTCCATCCGAGACTTAGGGTACAACAATTTAGGCTTGTGTGTGTGACTAAACAACGGTCTCAGAAGTCTTTTCTGTAAAATAAAAAATGACATAGTACGTCATGAAGTAAAATAAGAAATGATGACGTTAGCGTAGAATGATTTTATTTGTGAGTAGACATGCACTTCATCAATCAAAGAGAAAACCTGACTAGATAAATACAATTCAATGATGGGTAGTAAGATCAAAATATTCTTTGAGACATTTAAGTCAGTTCAAACCTCAGCTTTTCTCCCGTGTTGCGCTAATGTAAAGTTCGTGACATCTTTGCAACAAGAATAAACTTGCCGATCCAACAGCAAATCTATTCTAGACTCTTTCAAAGACTAGAGAGAGACTACTGCGTAAGGTATAACATTCTCAAATACTGGTTTAGTGTTTGACAAACCAGCAATTAAGCTTTTATACTCGACATAATGTAATAAGTATTGCCTGCGTCAACCTCAGGACGTTTCAGAATGAACATTTGTATGGTGCCACAAGCGTTGGAGTAAAAAGTTACATTTTTCTTTATTCCACTTTATTCCTATATTGTGTTATTCTTCCCGGAATTACTCAGTAGTTTGCAACATCGTTTTAATAAAAAATGTATTGAAAATACAGGTTATCTCATTCAAAGCCACCAGAATCCCGGAAAGCTAAATCCATCTTTTAGAGGTTAATCTGTAACTTTTAAGTGTTTTCCATAACTGAAACAGAACTGAAATGAATATTTGCGTTTGGCTATATTTAGCGGGAGTTCTGCATCTTTTAATCGTATTGTCAATGCGACGTTTGGCATCATGCATCTTAGACATCATGGATAGAATTTAATTGTCGATAATATTACAGACTCATTTTAATTGTCATCGTATTGTTAAATACAAATACTCAGGGACTATTAATCAATCGTGAGGTGGTGACTGCGTCCGCAAGTCATACAGTAGGTATTGTACCAAATCGAATAATAAAGAATCGATTACTCTTGTTACTATGAGATGTGACATTCTACAACTACAAATATTTTGCCCTCCGATAAATTAAATAAAATGGCTAGAATAGCATGCAGCCAGGATGCACTGTACTAAAATGATAGACTGGGATTGTTAGTTTTCTAATATTCCTATACTTACGTGCAACTCCTTAAATGTGTATACCTGTCCGTTTTCACTTTCCGTAAAATGGCCACATCTGAGCGTCCTACATTTCCTTTCTGCCAGTTCAAAGTGTTCTGTGACATGTTTTCAAGACGGATTTCCGAATTCCCTTGAAAAGAATCAAGGGTTTGTCATCAACCCATCTCTACTTAGGAGCGGCATTAGCAGCACTAGACATTTACCGTGGAGCTAAAATTCGGGGATTTAATCTCAGTTAAGAGAAAATACGAGGTGGTATTTGCAGACACTTGGAGAGCGCATGACCCGTGGGAAGATACAGATCACCTGCGTAATTTTATATATACTTAATTGCTTTGCTTGTTCTGTATGATGTACAGAACATGCGTTGCTTGTCTTCAGCTAAAATAAGCTGTTGTCAATCACGTGAAGGAAAGGCTGCGAATAAAATTAATTCCGTACCGGCTGTGTTGTTTAATTCTGTTATTTTTGTCCGTGGGATGTGCAGCTAGGTGTGAGAAATTTCAGACATGACATGCATTGTGTGGAACTCGATGCTGTCCAAGCGCGTTGAAAACCAAATCGCAGTAATAGTTAAAAGGCGACACGTCCGTGTGAGACAATGGATTGGTCCAAATCTGGCGTCGCACAAATGTGTAATTTACAAAAGTTGGAGTAAATGCATTGGTTACATGGTGGGAGATATTTGCATCGTTTTCATTTAATTCTTTGATACGTTGAAATATTTATTACCGTATACACGAGTTATATGACCTCTTTCATGTCATATAGATATCACTAATAATAAATATGCGGTATTGCATTTGTCGATATATTGCCACTGACATTGCTTGTGACGGAGAGAGTGCCATTGTTACCGTTTTGTGTTCCGGATTTTTGCTCAGGAACAAAGGTGATCCAGGTGTATGAGATCTGTACAATGTGATGCACAAGTTGGGGTTTATTTATATTCGTGCCACTCCAACAGTATGATGAAAACGTAGAGCACCGAGTTGCAAGTGCTCTTAAAAAACTGGAAGTCATGAATCAAATTTCACGTTATTGTTTCAATTTAGTTCCATTTCTTATATTGTAATTTATTTTCGCTTCTTGTCAAAAGTAAATATCGACTGCAAAACGTACAGTACGTTTTTGTGTATTTCAACGTGTAAACAGCCTTCACTAAAACGTTTAACAGTTAAAAAAACTCAGTTAAATAGCTTTAAGTAGAATACTGTTATTAGATCATTTAGATTTTTTTTATCAAACAGGGAAACGTCTTTCTTTTAATAATTAACAACTGTGCTTTATTCGAAAAATAGCTAATTAATCAAAGTGAGATATGCATATTAAAATGTATTGACAAATCCTATAATGCAAAATGTGGCATTTTCATATCTGAAATGTCAGCAACACGATTATTGAATACGTCTTGCCCGTGTACAGGTCTGCTTTGGAAACTTTTCTGTTTCTTCTAGACTTGAAAATGTCAGTCTATCCGTTTGCTTATTTAAATATAATTTACATATATTTAAAATTCTGATTTTAATTTAACTCGCCTGTATACGAGGTTATAATATTTTAATGATTAAAGCGAGATAGACAAAATTGGTCTCACAGAGAAATCAACCCTGTGTTATATTCAATAAGGCAAAAAACTTTAAAGGCTATCATATCACAGAGAGCTTCATTCTCCTCAACTCTTAAAATCACATTCAATGTGCAGGATAGCGTGGAATATCCCTCTTTCAGGTGCTCCCACGCATTAGAATCACATGGGATCTGATCAGGTGATGCGAATGGCCAAATCAGTCCCGGGCTCCGGGTATCAAAAAATCAAGTTATTTTAAAGCTCGATTGCCTTTGGCTTTGCTCAGAAATCTCCACATCATTCTATTTTCTCTGTGAATGAAAGCTGCCACTCTAATTTATCAATATTTTTCTACTATAGGCTTTAATTAATGCATTTATTGTCTGTGTTGGCATATTGAATAATAACGATAAGGTCGGGCTGTGGTATAACGGTACAGGTATTGGTTATCAACTCTTTTTAGCCTAATGGGAAAAAGCTTATAGTTAAATGCTTACAGTTATATGACGGATAAAAAAAAACATACTGTAAAGCTTTAAAAACACTTTTAATTTTTATTAATGCATTGAAAGCTAGACGTGGTCTTTTTATGTTTCATTTCAAAAAGCTTTTGGAC